CTTGCCTCAATGCCTCACCATCTTATTTGGGGCTCTCCAGAGATCAGAGATCTGTGGAATTAAAGCCTGCCTGTAACTCATAACTCAGGAATCCTGACCTTTCCACACATCCCATTCCCTTCTGGGAAATCTGAGAGGGTTCTCTGCACCTTCTGCTCCAGCCTTCCATCCCAAGCCCTGGGCGGCAGACAGGGCCTTGTGGGCCCTGTGTGGTCTGGGAGCTTCTGAAAGCCCTTCTCTCCCTGCAATGGTTCCCATGGAGGTCTGCAGAACAGGGCTGAGCTGGGGCTTCCAACCTAGGCAAGAGAGGAGCAGGGGGTTGGTAAGAGGGAGAGCAAGAGCGAATATAAGAAGACAGAAAGTGAGTATGTATGAGAGAAAGAGAGAGGAATAAGAGAGAGAGAGAGGTGTATACATGTGTGTGAGCGTGTAAAAGGTTGTGTGTATGTGTGTGAGAGTATGTATGTGTATGAGAGTGTGTACAGAGTGTTGTGAAAGAGAGAGAGAGTATGTGTGGTGTGGGAGGAGTCTATTTGTGTATGAGAGTGTGTGACAAAGAGTGTGTGTGTGTGTGTGAGAGAGAGAGGGTTTGTGTGTGACAGTGTGTGTGTGTGAGATTTTGTGAGAAAGAGAGTGTTGTGAGAGTGTGTGAGAGAGAGGATGTGTGTGTGTGTGTGTGTGTGTGTGTGAGAGACAGTGTGTGACAGAGAGTGTGTGGGCAGGGGAGAAAGAGAGAGCGCTAGACCAAGAGACAGAAGCAGATACAGAAAAAGTCTACTAACATAAACAGAGGCAGATAACACTGGATGAGATGCACCCCCAAATGAAAGACATGGGGAGGGACACAAAGACATAGAGGAGACAGGCACCCCCAGAAAGAGGGGTAGACCTGGTCATGTCAGGTCCCGCTAAATGCCCCCAAACCTCTCCCTGAGGGTCTTGCTGGACTTGGCAGCTCTTGGAAAGAACAGGCCACCTAGGGGTTTTAGATGCCTTTACTGTGCCCTCTTCAGGCAGAGAGCAGTCCAGGGTCCAGAAGGCCAGAAATTCCACCTGCAATGTGCCCTCTACTGCCCAAACTCCGGGCGGGGGGATAAGGGAAGGGGGAAGTCGAGGACACCTGAATGGGGGCCCCAGAGATGGTGGACAGAGGCCCCATCAGAGATCAAAGGCCCAGGAAGAAACAGGGTGTGGGCCTGCCCTTTCACCCGTGGCCACTCTTCCCAGCCCCGGCTGCCAGCCGAGTCCGGCCCTGCCACCACCTCCTACGGGCCTTCTTGGCGGGGGGGCACTACTTCAGGCCCTGTCCCCCTAGCCCAGTGGGATTCCTGAGGCCTATGCCAGAGACTTCTCCGTGCAAGCTCTCAGGCTGGCCCAAGTAGGAGAGGAGGCTGTGTCCCCTGCCTGGGCAGCACAGCCACCTGACCCTCAGTAGCATCCACAAGCCTCCTGAGCATCTCTGGGTGCTGTGCCCTGTGCCAAGGAGCAGGCCAGGGAGAGAAACCCATGTGGTGTGGCCTCTGCCCAGTCAAGTCCATGTGGATGGCCACCTCTGAGTCAGGCGGCAGGAGGGGAAAACAAGTAGTAGAACCACTTTCGGACAGGCAGTCAGAGAACCACGTGCTACCCAGATTGGAACAGGCCTCAAAAGTCACAGAATCCAAACCAGAAGGCCTTCTTTGGCTCTCCTGCCTCTCCTTTGTCTAGCCCCTGCTCACATATCTGATGACAGGGAGTTCATCACCTTTCCAACCTAGTGCTCCCATCGGCCCCGCCTGGCTGTTAGTTTGAAAGCTGTTCCTTGCACTGAGTTGTACTCTGCCTCCCTGGAGCTTCCTGCAGCCGGCCTGGCTCTGCTCTCAGAGGCCCCAGGGCCTTCTCGGCCACCTGAGCCGTACACAGCTCATCTGAGATTTGGACACAGTGGCCATACCCCCAAAGCCAATCTTGGAGGCAAACGTCCCGGGGAGAGTCCTAGAATTTCTAGACTGAAAGGGCCCTTGGCAATCCACTAGTCGAACAGTCGTTCTAACTTGTTTGTTTTTGCTACAGAACTCTTTATTCAAATAGAGCTTTCTGTGGAAGCCCAAAATACCAAACAGAAACCTTCCGGGTTGAGGAGATTATCCACTCCCCCTGCTTACTAATCATGAACCCTCTACAGGCATATGACTGATCCAGTCCACTTACTGAGGACCTATTATGTGCCGAGCACTCGTACTAAAGCCACATTACCCAATACAGTAGCCACTAGGCACATCAGGAGGCTACTGGACACCATGAAATGTAGCTAGTGCAACTGAGGGACTCCATTTTAAATTTCATGTGATTTTAATTATTTTAAATTTAAAAACAGAAGCTATGTAAAATATTTTTCCCTTGATAAAGGGCCACTTCCTAGGAGGAGCCTTCCTGGATCCTTTTGGTCAAAATCAGGCCCTCCCTGCCTGGCTCTCCCCCTCTGGTGTCGCTGCCCATCACAGCACCACCTTTGCAGGGGCTTCGGCTTGTCGGTTTTGCCCGCCAGCCCGTGAGCTCTAGAGGGCAAGCCCTTTGTGACTAGACTCTATTACCACCACCACCACCCTCCCCGCCCTGAGGCCTGGGCAGAAGAGTGGCACCAGGAAATAGGCAAGTCCTAGCTGGAGGTGACTGCAAAGTGGAATGGAGTGAGCGACACCACGCTACAGAGCCTCAGTCACCTCATCTGAGAAATGGGAGTGAGGATTCCTCTTGGCCTCTTCCCCTTGGCCCGCTATGGCTCTCTCCCTCATGGCCCTTCCCTCAACCTTGCCTCCCACTCTTCCCAATCCTGTCAGCTTCCAGGACCATCATCAAATCATTCTCCCTTAGCCCCCAGACCACAGACTAGATCACTTCCCAGGTCTTTCTGGGCATCAGGACTTGATCTCAAAGATGATCCAATCCTACAACTAATTCTTGATACTCTTGTACAGCAGCCCCAGCACATGGTCATCTAGGCTCCACTTCCATGCCTCTAGTGATGGGGTACTCACTACCTCCCAAGGTAGCCCCCGTTTGCCCCAGACCGCTCTCACATTTACACGTTCTTTCTTACACTGAGCTGAAATCTCCTCTGCACCTGCTGCACGCTGGCCCTGAAGCCTACACAGAAAAGTCCAATTCCTCTCCCGCTCCATGACAGCCCCCCAAGTATTTGAAGGCAACGATCCAGTCCCGTTCATTCTTCTTTTCATTGTATCAAAACAACCCTAGAGCCTCAAGGTGTTCCCCAGGTGCTATGATATCCAGACCCCTGTCCATCCAGATTACACCCACCTGGACACATCTCCATCTGTCACTGTCCTTCTTAAAGGTCAATATCCCAAATGGGCCACCGTCCTCAAGGAATGATCTGATGGCACAGACCAGTCAAGACCAACAACACACCTGCATTCTGACCACTCAATACATTTTTTTTTAATTTATTTATTTTAAGTAGGCTCTACGCCCAACGTGGGGCTTGAACTCGTGACCCCAAGATCAAGAGTTGCAGGCTCTACCAACTGAGCCAGCCAGATGCACCTGGAGACCTTTTAAAGCAGCTTGAGAGGCTAAACAGGGGCCGCTGATCAGAGACTGAAAGCTGGTACAGTGTTCTGCAAACGGTAAAACTGCCCCCCCCGCCCCCCGCAAAATCAGGACCTGTCTGTTTGGTGGTAAACATCAAACCAGATTTTTTTTTTTTTAATTTCTCCAAAAATCTCTGCTGGGATCCCTCAGCCTGTGAGGGAGCGTCATACAACCCGCCCCTCCACCGTGATCAAACACAGCTGGGCCCCAGTTTGGGCACATCTGCTTCGAGTCCAGGTGACAACGGGAGAAAAGATGACAGCATCAACCCCATAAACCAACAGAGATGGTAGGCCCACTGCCTCCTGCGATAACACAGCCCAGCACCCGCTGAGTTAAACACTTCTGACATCTGCTCTGAGTGTCAAGAACAGGGGAAAGAGGTGAGGGGGTTCTGAAGCCGTGAACCATCCCCACGCACCCTCACAGCTCCAAACGGAGGCCCCAGGCCCAGCCTCTGCACTGCCCGGAACACGCAGACCACAGGCCAACCCACCGCTGGGCCAACTCGTTTTTCTAGTTACAGATCTTAAGTACTTAGGCACGTGCTCCCGAGAACATACATCCCTCACAGGGAGCTGAGAAAGGGAATTGTGCTGAGGAACAGAATAATTGAATCAAGATTTCGGTCACACGACTCTCAGGCCCTAGACCATAGGCGTTTTGTTTTTTTTTTTTCCTTTCCTGACTAAGGTCTTACAGACTCCCAGGGGTCAGCCACACTGGCAGCCCATCCAGGCCACGGAGAGCCGGGTGAAGGTGGGCCCATGTCCGGGACGGAGATGGTCAGCTCCAGAGAACCAGGCAGCAGGCGCACACAGGGGCTGAGAAAAACCAACTGGGAAGATTGTCATCTTGGTAATCCCCAGGAGGCCTCTGTACTCCTTCCTTCCAGGCCCAAGGGCAGAGATGAAATGATTCACTTCCTCAAAGCCCCCACCCTCACCACTGCTGGAGGCCTTCTGGGAGACTGCACAGCCCTTCTAGAACCCACCTGCTGACCTCTCACTGCAGGGCACGCAGCACCCCTCTCCTCCCGGTCTCCCCCTGCAGAGGGGATGACCATTTGCTCACACCCTGCACACCCTGCCCTCAGGCATCAGATCTGCATACGGGTCCTCTTACACACCACAAAGCTCGGGCACGAGGGTTCTGCCAGGCCCACTTGCCTCCACCGGAGGTGAAGATGAGGGCGGGCCAGTGAGAAACCTCCAGTCCCAGCCAGCAGCCTGCCTGCCTCTCCTAGAGCCCTCAGCCCCTCCCCGTGTCCACCCCGCCTGGGGACTCAGGGGCTCGGCGGGCAAACAGGTGCTCAGTGGGCATCTTCGCTTCCACCCCTGACTGATCCGCCCCACAACAGAGCCCGTCAGGTTCATCCCGGACAGGGCTGCGTGGGCATCTCTTACCTTCATCTCTCTTGCGCTTGTTGGTGTCGGCGCTGGGGGATGTGATGCCCAGGATGCCACTGATGGAGTACGAGGAGCCGGCCGAGTCCGTGCTCACTGACGACACCTGCGTCACGGAGCCCGTGGACACTGCGCAGAGGGAGAGGGGTGGTCAGGGCCCGGCAGGAGGGCTGTGGGGGCGGGCGCTTCGGGCCAAACAAAGGCACTCGCCCTGCACTGGGCTGATGCGTGTGACTGCCTGCCTGCCTGCAGAGCCGGCGAGTGTGTGCTGAGGACACTCGCCCTATGGCAGCCCCTACACCTGGGCGATGCGAACTGCCCTCAGGGGCCATCTGTCCAGGTTTCCTACTGCTGGGGGTGGTGAGAGGGAGAGGATGGGCAGCTAGGAGGACTGGCGGTGCAGAAGGGAGCACGGGACAGTGTCAGAAGGGCACTAGCTCAAATCCCAGCCTGTCCAAGGATGCAGGAAGCAGGGGAATGGAGAAGAGAGAGAGAGGGGAGCCAGGGCCCACCACCAGCCAGTGCTTAAAAAAAAGACCTAGACTACTCATTAAGCAGGTTCATTCCTTGCTACATATCCACCCATCCATGCAGACATAAATACCTGCACACTCATACACTCAGCCAACAAAACTCCAAATGGCAAACCGTTCCTTCTTTTTATAGTTCCTCACTGTCTTTTCTCCTTCCAGTTTACCTGGATTTTAATATTTAATATTAATTATATAATAATGATATGATATATAATAGAATATATATAGTGCATACATCATATATATTGATATACATAATAATGATAACTAACGTTTTCTGAGAACTTACTCTGTGCCAGGCATTACTGAGGCATTGTTTTATTTAATTCTAAGAACAATCTTATAAGGGAGGCAATGTTATTATCTCATTGGAAAGGTAAGGAAACCAAAGCTCAGAGAAAGGTAAGTGACTTGCCCAAGGCCACAGAACTCAGAAGCTAAAGTCTGAACCCCTAGAGTAACCTGTTCCTCGTTAAGGAATCATGAAAAACAATCCTATGCTTCACATTAGTGCAGTGTTTTTCTATTTGATGGTTGCAACAACCTAAAGTGCTATTATTTACCTCATTTGATAAATAAGGCTTCACAAGGTGAAGGGATTTGCTCAACGTCATCTAGCCAGTTAGCAGGAGCACTAGGACTTAGCCTCAGGTCTAGACTTGAAGTCTAGATTTCCCCTGTCTGGAAATGTGGGGGCTGGGGTTAGTGACTTATTGTGACTGAGGCCAGGTCTCTACATCCCAAAGGATAAGCACGGGGGAGGGGAGGTTTTGTGCAAGTTTCACATTAACTCCTAACCCCAGACTCCAAGGGAAAGACCAGTCAGTCGTCAGGGTCCTCGGGAGCTATCCAGCTGAATTTCCATTTCTGGGCTGTGGGAATTCTTTCTTGGTTCATTAAAGCCTACAAACCAATCTCAGACACATTTCCTTGGGCTATAACTAGCTGGAGGCAGGTGGAGCCGCCTTTGGCTCTAAAGTGTAGAAAATTACAAGAAATGGTGGTGATTGCGTGAGAAGCTGTTGGGTGCTTTCCTTGGAGCATATCCAGCTCTTACTTCTACAGACCTAGAGGGAACAGTGCCTTTCTTCTCATATTTGAGTTAGATTTTTAGATCTTCCTTAGGAGACACAGAAGTAGAAATCGTTAACTTCTCTTTTCCTTCACCAGAAGAAGCGCCTCAAAATAGATTTATGCAAATCTCACAACCTTTTCTGTATTAAGGTGCAAAGAACAGAGGAAGAAGATCACAAGTCATTTGGTACTTTAAAAAACAACAACCACGTATGACCAAGGCTCACCATGTCGCTGACAGAGCCAATGATATTTTGTGATTGCACTAGACTCAAAAGACCCAAATTCCAATTCTGGCTCCACCACTTATGAGCAGGGTGCCCTTGGGCTAGTTATTTAATCTCTCAACTTCCGTTTCCTCTGCTCTCGATAAATTTGTAAACTATAAGGGGCTGTACACATGTAAGATAGGTTTTTTATAAAAATTTCTGAAACAAAACAAAGCATTCTGCTGACCTACAAGTAGAATTGTTCTTCTAACCCAACTGAAAGAATAGTATAAGTTACTCTTAGTCTGATATTCATTGTTCCGTGATCTGAAATAGTTAAAGCTACAAGTGAAATCTCAGCCATAAACATTTCCCCAGGAACCCTCCTCAACCCTCTTCAGCCCAGCTCAACAGAGCTGGTAGTTTCCTTCCTTTGGCTCACACAGTACCCTTTACTTTCTTCTTGAGCCTGAGCTCAGTGTTTTGCAAACTTCTCTTAGTTGCATTCCCCCATTAGACTGAGAAGCCCTGGAGAATGGGGATTAGGTCCTGCCTCCTTTAAAATACTAGTCTCTTGCAAAGCAGGGGCTTAGCAAACACTTTTTGAATGGACTACTTATTTCTTTTAATTTAAATTCAACTAATTACCATATAATGTATTATTTGTTTCAGGGGTACAGGTCTGTGATTCATCAGTCTTATATAATTATTTTAGGGGCACCTGGGTGGCTCAGTGGGTTAAGCATCTGCCTTCAGCTCAGGTCATGATCCCAGGGTTCTGGGATCGAGCCCCACGGTAGCTTCCTGCTCAGCGGGGAGTCTGCTTCTCCCTCTGCTCCTCCCCCTGCTCGTGCTCTCTCTCTCTCTCTCAAATAAATAAAATATTTTTTAAAAAAAGAATTATTTTATGGTAGGGAGGAACTCTCTCTTACCTTTATCCAAAGAGGCAAACATGGAGGACCAGAAACCTCAGGGAGCACCTAGTTTGTGCACCTCAGTCCACAAATGGGGAAACTAAGGCTCAGAGAAGCAAAGGGACTTACACAGTTCACCGGATGAGTTAATGGCAAAGCTGGAAGTATAAGCCTGGCGTCTGCCCATCCCCCATCACCACGGGGAGTTCAAGTTTGCAGTTAAAAGAGGGAGTGACAAAGATGTGGAAACATTAGACAGTCTGAGGCATTATTAAATGACAGTGACAGGGACTGTCAGAGGCTTCCTGAATGGCCACCACTTTCTTATAGAATAGCCTTCCCCCCAGAGGTGTTTCCTTTATCCCAAGTGGCGAAATAACGTGTCTTAAATAGACACATGTCACTGACATCTCACAGTCTTTGCGGGGAAGGGAAAGGCACGGAAACTTCCGAATTCTTCAATAGTAAGAAATAGGACCGCCACGCTTACAAGTGGCCCTTGCTCAGACTATTCCCCGTGAGTGTCAAAAACCCCACTGCAGCCCTCATCAATTCATGGAGTACATGAGATCGAAGCGAGAGAGGGGGAGAGAGAGAGAAAGAGAGAAAGTTTGGGAAGTTTTGCCACATCTTCACTCAAGACTGCAAGTGCACAAAGAATTGTGGAAGGGCTGGTTAATAGAAGAAAAAAACACATTCAAAACTACTTACTGACTAATGATGCAGAAAATGTTATGAATAAGTATCCCTTTCTTGATTTATTACTTTAATTATCTGACATTCTATAGACCCCCATTAGTGGATTTTTTTTTTTTTTTGGCTTAGATTTCAATTTTCTGTCTCATGGTGAAAGCTATTTATCATAATAATCAGTAAAATTCAAAACCTTTTAGCAGTATTTATAAAATTCATTTACCAGGTTCAGCCCTTGGAGAATGACAAAGAAGGCGCATTAGTACGTGTGCCGAAGTGTTTTATGCAGAATTATCTGTCCATAAGAATGATTAAAAGTTCTTTAGACTATTTGGAACCCATTAGATTTTTAAATTTTTTTTAAAAGTTCTTCTTACCTATGCTGTGACTGGAAGCTGGGACCGGCTGGTTGGGTGGTTGCTGTACTTTCGTCCGGATGATCCTGTGGACAGTTGGGAAAGAAAATAATGGCTATTTACCATCATCGAGAAGATATCTCAACTAGCTATGCACGGACAACCAGAAAAGCCTTATCAAGCTGGGGCAGAGGAGGAGGGAGGTTATACCCTAGACTGGGAGTTAGGGGGTTAGAAGAGCTATGGACTAGTCCCAACTCAGCCCCTACCTCCCTGGGTGTCTTTGGATAACTTGCACCCCTGTCTGGGATTCGAGTGCCTCTTCCGTAGAAAAAGGATGATATATTAGTGTTATGAATGGGCATTTTTTTCTCTGGAGCAGCTCCAGCACCACAAAGAACTCCCTGAGTGACGTTAGAGAGTTTCTTCCCTTCCCCAGACCTCTGCCCCTTCTCAGCAGAATGACTGAACCAGGTGACCTCTCTGTTCCCTGGGGGCCCAACATGCTGTGGTCTCTCTGCCTTAGAGAGCCACATGAGGAGTCACATCCCCACCTGTTAAAAATTATCAAAGAAGCGGATGTGTGTTGCTCTCAACCTAAAAAGGGTTTAAAGTGCTGGCTTGGCTTTGCTACGAGGAACCCTCCAAAGCTGCCTTGTACAAAATCTCATGGTTACACTCCAACAGGGCCAGGAGCCAGGGGTGTCCTGGCTTGTCTTTCCAGAGACCTTGCTCTAGTTCTAATATGATGAACTTGATTGTGACCCTAGGCAAGTCCATTCTGTTGTGGGCCTCAATATGATGAGGGAGTTGGAACAGACCACACTACTTGCTTTAAGTGATTAAATCCTCTTTTGGGGGGAAAAATCTTCCAGAAAATCCCACTGTATAAAAGGGGTAACAGCGGTACTGTCTTCCCTCTGCACCTGCTGGCTCCGATGTTCCTCTGCAGAACCCTGGGCTCTGGGAAGCTTAGGCTGTAAATTTCTTTCTGGAACAACACACTCATATGGGTCTCCATGAGACCCCAAGCCCTGCGTGTCATAGAGTAACCAACCTGGCCAGGCCAGAAGCCCCTGTGGGGTCCACAAGAAAGTTCCTTCCCTTGCATCTGGGAGAAGGGTGGGTGGTAATACAATGTTCAGCTTCTTTGGAAAAGTTCTACTCCACCCTCCAACTATTACCTTTTAAAAGAACACTTACTAGAATTCTTCTTAATTATAAAAGCAATTTGTGCTCACTGCAGACTTTTAGGACAATAAATATAAAGAAGACATCTAAAATCACATTTCAGTGTATTTCCTTTATGCTAACATTCCTATGCATATTAGGAAATATCCATTTTCTGTTAGCAAAATCAAGATTAAACCATGTACACAGTTTGTATCCCACTCTCTTCACTCAATGCCATAGGAGAGGCTTTTTCACATTCCAGACCATTATCTCGGGAAGTCCAAGTTGCAAGCTGCACTGGGTCTCCAGCCTGTACAAATGGAGAGCAGTGAGGATGCCCTCACTGGGTTATGGCCTCTGCTCTCCACGATCTCACAGCTCAGTGGTGGGCACCCAGGCTGCTCAGCATGCTCGGCTGAGAGCCTGGAACGGACATTTCCCTTCATACCACAGCCCAACCACGGGGTCCTCTGGAGTCCAGGCCCCTTGAGCCTCCAGGGTCCTTTGCCCTTTTCTATGAGTCGGTGTAAGTGTTGCATCAAATGCATTCGGTGTTTGTTTTCTCCAATATTCGAAGTGCTTATTTTAACTCAGCAAACGTGGAGCATATTCACAAGGACCTGGGAATGAGGTGGTCTTTTGGAACCACCTGGAATTAAGCTAGAATCTGACCTAATTTTTGTATTTTTGTGTATGTCACCTTCTCTGTGGATATATGTGTGTTTGTCTACAGAGATATGGCTTGATATGAATATATGGATATACCAGATGTAAATATAGTTTATCTATGTTACGGTTTATGTATATACAAAAATATGGTAAAATATATCAGAACTATTTCCCATTACTTTCAGCATAAAGTCCTAACTTTTCAAAGTATTGTCTGGCCATTAAATTTAAGCAAACAAAGAAAATTATATTTTCCTTATTTTTCTTTTAAAATATTTATAAATCGTTTGGTAAGACATTATCAAATGTTATAAATTATCAAGAGGCAGCTGCAGCATATTGATTAAATACACAGGCTCCACGGGGTGCCTGGGTGGCTCAGTCGTTTAAGCGTCTGTCTTGAGCTCAGGTCACGATCCCAAGGTCCTGGGATCGAGTCCCGCATCAGGCACCCTGCTCAGCAGGGAGCCTGCTTCTCCCTCTGCCTCTGTCCCTCCCCGCCAAAGGATAAATAAAATCTTTTTTTAAAAAATTATATAAATAAATAAATACACAGGCTCCAGAATCAGAGGTTGAATCCCAGTTTTCCAACTTGCCAGCTGCATGGCCTTGAGTAAATTACTTAACCTCTCTGTGCCTCAGTTTCTTCATCTGCAAAGTGGGGCTAAGAATCATTCCTACCTCCTAGGGTTATTATGAGAATTAAACTAATTAATAATTTAGAATAGTGGCTACTGCATAGTAAATTCTCTATAAATGTTAGCTGTTATTTTCAGTAGTATCTTCATAACGACTAAAGACCAGCTTCAACCTTAAAAGGTTAGTATTTTCCACGAATGCCTTAAAAACACATGGGATCCCCCCTGGGAGTTGGGGAGGGGAAAGCAGCCATCCCCACACCCTATTTTAAGGCTGTAGTGCGGTTGTCCTTTATAGGCGAGACCAAAATATAGGGAACCCGCCAAAGCTGTCCCCAGGGATAGAGATTTTGCCCATCTGCTTGCAGCAGCTGCCAAAAAAAGAACAAAGAGCATTATCTTCCGCTGAGAAGAAATGGTAGTGGGAAGAACAAGACTAATTGAATCATAGCAGTTCTTTAAAAATTTAAAATTAACAAGCAATCATCAAGACTTGTCACAATAAGAGTCACACTCCAGACCTTTTCTAAACCAGAGACAGCCTGGCTAACTGGCACTTAACACTAAAATGTCTAACCTCTACGTTGCTGAGCATGAGCATGACCCTGGGTGCCATGTGAACATCCTAGATCGTCCAACAGGGAAGAAAGTTCAGCAATCAACCAGTTCCTCCAAATGGGGAAACCAAAGCTCAGAGTGCTCCAGTGACTTGCCAGGGTCACACAGCAGGTCAGCCCAGACTTCCAGGTTCCATGCCTAAGCACTTTCCTTTGGACCACATTCAAAGGAAGTGATCCCCCTGCTAAATATTTCCTACAGGAAATATTGGATTCCAAATCCATTTAGAAACTGAAGGACTAACGTCCCAGGGACTTCAGGTATTACAGGCATTTGTAAGGATCCGATTTCAACATCACCCTCACTTCTTTGAAAGGCTAGGTCTTCTCAGACACATTCCCCCCACCGCCCTCCATACACAATTACACTGAAAGAGAAAATCATGGTGCCTTTAAAAAAGAAATAGGAAGACAAGGCTGAAGAGATCCCCATATCTACAGAACTGATCAAACTGCCACTGGGCACTAAGAATCTCGGGCCATCAGCTGTGCTAAGAATCCACAACCAGGGGCGCCTGGGTGGCTCAGTTGGTTGGGCGTCTGCCTTCAGCTCAGGTCATGATCCCAGGGTCCTGAGATCAAGCCCCGCATCGGGCTCCGTGCTCAGCAGGGAGCCTGCTTCTCCCTCTCCCTCTGCCTGCCTGTCTGCCTACTTGTGATCTCTCTGTCTGTCAAATAGATAAATAAAATCTTTAAAAAAGAAAGAAAGACAGAAAGAATCCACAACCAAGGGTTCAACTGGACCATACTGGGAGAGGACCCACAGGGGACACCCAGGCCAGCAACTGAGGTGGAGAAGAAAGGGAATGGGTAAACAATCTCAGAAGTCTTGCTGCCCAAGTTCAGAGGAAGAGTAGAGTTTACAACTATCGTCCCCCAGGCCATGTCCATCCCTGAACAAGCTTTATTTGGCTTGCACGGTTACCTGTTTTCATTTGAATTAGTTGCCAATATTTGCAAGGTGGGAGCTTTTACATAAATACATGGATTTGTAGCTTCCCTTGAAAAATCCGAACACCTAGCCATGCTGACCCCACGTTCTCACATGATAACAGCCAATTGGTGCTAAAGAGAACTGTCCTTCTAACTGGGAATGCCACCCACGGTGCCCACCACTTGGCCCCTGATTTAGAGCCACAGGTCTCGAACAGAAGGCAGGCTCCATTCCACCTGTCTCTGTCAGCTCTCGGACAGTCCCCTCCAACGGACACTCAGGATGGATTCTAAAAATCCTTGGTGCAGCTTCGGCAGCATCCCAGCGCTTCCTTGTCCTTCGGAAGCCACAGAATAACAAGACACTTGGCTTGTGTCCCAGGAAATCTCCCACACGCTCAGCACAACAGGTGCGATGGCACTTAACTCCATGTGGGTCAGGGATTCCCGGGCTGGTCTCCCAGAAGACAGCAGGAAGGCATACACTTGTGGGGGTGGACACTGGAGATGACACTGTGGCCCCCGGAATAGCTACCAATCCAGTCACCACTCCCTCCTTAGCTGTTTGAAATAAGGGAATCGTGAGAAGTTGCCCCCAAGGGAGGCAGGGGCTGGAAGAGGAATCTATGGATATTTGCAAGACGGTTCTTTCGAAACTGCATCCATTTGGACGCAGTGCAGCAGCTTTGCCTTCGTATGGAAAATAGAACTGCATGCTGGGATGGCTCAGGCTTTCTCGGGCAGTGGGGGGCGGGCAGGCAGCAACAGACAGTGTCCCGCACCCTGTCTATCTGCATTGCTGGGTTGGTTGGCTAAAGACCACAAAGAGCTCTGGGTGAGGAATGGAGTAAGGAGCCAGAGTGTGCTCCCAGAGAAGAGCCCCCAGAGGGGTGCGCAGGAGAGGGCTACGGGTCCCCGAGGGAGCTATAGACAGGCTGCAAAGCATAAAGGCTGCAAAGTGCACAGAGATGGAGTAGGAATGACTGTTTTACTCCCCCCTGCCTCTCTTCTGTCAGATCCTCAGTCCTGTCGCTGGCAGAGTCCTCCAGGGCAGTGCAAAGAGACAGGCCCTCTTCTTACCATCAGGGAACCTAGGCTCAACTCCCAGCTCCACCTCAAAATCATCATTCCTCTGCTCTCCCCTTCTGGGCCTCAGTTTCTTTACCTGCCACAGAACAGAGTTAAGCCTCAAGGGCTGTAGGAGACCACAGGTGTGAACACACCACAGAGGTACAGCCCCCGCTGGGGGTGCGGGAGGCCCTGAGGCCGGCCACGGCCCCAGCCACGAGCAACCAGCAGGCAGAGCTGCACAGAAAAGCTCCAAGCACAAAGCATCGGCTGCTCTACGGTTTCCCTAGACACTCATTCAAGTACCCCTTACAGCCTTCACCCCCTCTGCCAAGCTATGTGCTCTATTTATTTCATCTGTTCCTTTCAAGTAACTTACTTTTTGACTTAAATAGACTTCTTTTATGAGGCAACACTAGTTCTTTACCGTAAAGGGGAGGGATAGTCCATAAAGTCCACACTGACTGGCTTGGTGTTCTAGTTATATTTTTCTAAAGTCCATTAAAATAAATTCATCATAAAATAATTTTCATCCTTGTATTACAGAAGGGCTGGAGCCCTGCAAATGAGTTATGCTTGTCCTGTAAGGCATTTTTTTTCACTGAAATTAGTCACCCCCATTTAAAAACATGGAGGTTTTATATACACAAACACATAGATACATGCACACACTAATCCTAGTTTCCAGATTCCCTTTAAGAGTGGAAAGATTCTGGCAAATCCTGGGCCTGCTTTCCTGGCAGCATTCAGCTGGTGCTGAGAAGGCCCTGCCCCTTCAATACTGCTGTGCTGTCTGTTTGCCGCAGACCCAACCTTTCCCTATCACCTCACACCTGGCCCGCTTCACTGCCTGGCCACAATAGGCATTAGAGTTTGGGACCCCCACGGGCAACCTAAAGTTATCTTTCAAACCACCAATTACATGTACACCCTACACTGGGAAATCCGTGGGCCCCCAAAGCCTGACCACAGGTTTGGCAGAAGTTTCTTTGCAGAGCAGGCTTCTGCTGCTGCACTGCTCATAGGGAAAAAGTCACGTTGCTTTGCGTGATGGAAATCCTGCAATGAGCCAGAAGCAGGGGCCTCACAAAGCACATTGGAGCCCCTCATAATCCAGAAAAAGAACAGGAGTATTCTCCGCCCCCCAAACCCACCACAATAGTTGCTACCTCCTCAGCTAATTTGGGCTGACCAGACTTCTAATCCGCACCAGAATCCTGTCCTAGACAAGGAGGCCCTCTAGAACAGAGACTAAGAGACAGTGTGCCCAATTCCCTCTCTCTTCTCAGCACCTTGCATGATGTCAGGGCCAAGGTCAAGATTTGCTGAGAGAAAGAAAACAGGCTAACGGTAATGAAATAGCAGGACTCAAAACATCAACACAGACACTGACACAGTGACTCTGCGCATTTGAGTCACCACAGAAGGAACAACCAGCAGGCCCAGAAGGGATCTCTGAGACATTCTGGTCTAACCACCTCTTTCTGCCAGAGGCGAGGGGTCTCCTATGCCCAAGTAGGCTCTGTCTGCACTGACAAGGGTCGCCTGTGATCTTGGAGAAATGGGAACTGGTCAAGTTTTCGGTCTGCTGGCTTCTCTTCTCTTTGTGGAGTTTAGACAACAATCATTTCTATTTATCTTACAACTTCATCCTTGACCTCTGTGGGTTTAGATGGAGTTGAGACTGCACCATCTACAATAGAAAACTTTCTTTCAGGAATTTTTAAAGCTCTGAGAGCTCCGTTAGATACTTCCTGGATCAGACTGCAGAGTAGAAAGTGCCTCTGCAGCTCCCAGGACAATCCCATGCCTGGTATTCACGGTATTTCTCTGGTTTTTTCTCTCCATGGGTGAGATTGAGGGCAACTGGGTAGGGGGCAGCCCCCTAACTCCACAGCATCTTAGTGTCCTGGATGTCACTCTTGGAGATCACAGACCCACATCAGAACCTCCAAAGTCTGGGGCTCTCAGAGACAGGAAGAGCTTTGTCAAGGTCACACTTGGAGGTTGTGGCAGAGCTGGGACAAGGAACTAAATCCTCCAACTTCAAGTCCAGGCTCTGTTTTCCACACTCAGTGGCTCAACCTCTGCCCAAACGGAAGGCAGGGATTTTCTTCCTGGGAAGGTCTGATATAGGCCAGTGCTAAGACTTTGAGCATGGGCTTACAAGGAAGTGACATTTGTGGGGCCCGATCAGGACAATCCCCTGCTAAGTTCTCCACTCACAGAGGCGGGTGGGAAAGTGAGTGATAAAAATCACTCTGGGCTCAGAAAAATCTCAAGCAGCCTGGGTACTGACATGGCCTTCCCTCCCTGGGCCTAGAACTCCTGCCCACTTTGGAAAGACGAGAAAGGCGATAGAGAGATCTACTGAGGCCCTGTTAGCCCCCCTCCTGTCTGATAACCCCTCAGGGGCCTTAATGAATGGAGAGACCAGATCCTTAGGAAAAGCACCCGCAGAGCCTCCAGGATACCCCATTCCACCCAGATCCCTAGCCCCCCCACAGGCACCAGCCCCTCACCTGTTGATGGAACTGACGCTGGGCACCGTGTCATTGTCACACACCCGTTCCGCCAGCAGCCGGTCCCTGATCTCCCAGGCAAACATGGTGGGATTTTGGCGTTTATACTCAGCGATTTTTTCCACCACTTTGGGCGTGGCGACCTTTGGTTTGGATCCTCCAATTACCCCAGGCTTGATGCTCCCCGTCTCATAATACCTAGGACCCAAGGAGAAAGGAGCTTAGCCATGAGGAACCAGCAAAATGGACCAGCAAAATGGATGTTTGCAACAAAATAGCTACTCTGTCCAGAAACCATCTGGATCTGTGCTGACCAGTTTAGCAGCCACTAGCCATACGGGGCTTTTGAACATTTGAAATATGGCTCATTTGAATTGAGGTGCACTGTAAGCATAAAATACACACCAGATTGTCAAAACTCAGTAGAAAAAAAGAACGTAAAATCTCTCATTAATAATTTTTATATTGGTTATATGCTGAAGTGATCACACTTTTCATCTACTGGGCTAAATAAGATACAAAAAATTCATTTTACCTGTTTATTTTCCCCTTTTTAAATACACTACCAGGAAATTTTAAATTTCAAACTCAGCTCACATTCTATTTCTATCGGACAGTGCTGGTCTGGATGCTATGCATTAATTAGTTAATTCACTCTATCACATTCATCTACCATTTTACAGTTTACAGAAAACTTTCAAGTCAGCTTTCCCATTTGATCCCCACAACAGTTCTAAAGCACATAAATATTTTGAACAAATGCAAGAAAAATGAATGAATAGGTCCCTACTGGTAGGTATAAAACAGAGATCCATAGAGGTTAAATGGCTTGTCCAGGATCACACAAGACCCACTGGCCAAACCAGGATGGAGGCCCGGCCTCCCGAGCTAAAATTTCCCCCAGAAAGTTAGCTTGTGCCTTTAATTTACCAGCACTCCCATCCCCTAGCAGATTCCATCTGCATTCTGTGAAACTGTCCCCTAAAATGCAACCTTTTTTTTGCCATAAGATTAAAATGATAACCCTAGTATAAAACTAAAAGGAGTGTTGGATTCCAGAATTTACTGGAAATATATATATAAGTCAAAACCCAAGCAATAAAAAAAAAGCCAATCACAAGTCACTGCAGCTCTTCCAGGGAACTCCCCTGAGGTAAATCGCTGTTTCTAAGGACATTTCCATGCTATCAGCTCTTCCTCGTTAACACAAATAGGATGTCAGGGTTTTACAGTAAAACCGAGACCGTGGAGAAGAGTGCCGTGAAAGATCATTCCAGGGGAAAAAATATTACTTGATTCCTTTTCTGAATCTGAGCCTTTACTGGATGTCTCTCAACATTTACAGAGAAATTCTTGACTCCTCTTGCAAAGGAGATTATCTTGCTATTGAGAATTTCTTTAGCCAAGAAGACATTTTAGAAATGACTGTTAATTTTTTTTTAAGTAAACTCTGCACCCAGCGTGGGGCCAGGACTCAAGACCCTGAGATCAAGAGTCGGACACTCCACCGACTGAGCCAGCCAGGCGCCCCCATCACTGGTAATTTTTCAACCTATAAACCAAGAGTTTATAACAGGTAAGGGAAAGAGGTGATTCTCCTATGGATGGATGGGAAGTGTTACCCAAGAACAATGACTAGTTACATTTAAAGAGATGTTGAAATTCTCAGTCTGGGTAAATCTAGTCAGGGCCAAGTTAGTGGATATTCTAGAAACAGATGAAATAATTTGGGAGCAGTGATGCAGAAGTGGAAATTCTGTTTTTCAGTGAGAAAAGTGAGTCATGTACAAATATGGACCATAAGGAAAAACTCAACCTATCCTCCCTCTTTCTGTAATGACCGAAAAATTGTAATTAATGGCAAAGAGCTTTTAAGAACTATCCAAGAAAATGTTATTTTGCCAGAAGGTTAGAAAGGCACCCAAATCAAGGCACACAGCAATCTCTGCAGCTTCCAATTATCCTTCCAATTTTACAATAAAAAGTCATTTCTTACTATCAACAACACAGTAACTCCTTATTTAGGCACAGTGCTCTAAAGTTTATACAGAGCTCTTCCTCAAATTATCTGGATCCTCACATCAATCCTAAGAGGCCAGCGGGTTTTATTTATGGAAGGGGAAACTGATGATTAGAAGAGTAAGTGACTTGCCCAACTTCCTTCTGGAAGTCAGAGCCAGTCCCAGCTCTCAGATCTGACTCTGAACCCAGTCTTCTTCCCACTAGAGCAAACTTCTGCTTCGACTGTAAAAATGAAAACAACGATGATGTTGATGATCCCTTGCAACTGTAGAAAGCTTTCCCGTTTACCAGGCAGTTCACATGCATCTTTGCACTCACTCACTGGTCACAGAGTGCCAGTTATAGGCACTGTCTTGGGGCAGAGGTTACAGACAGAGACAAACCTGGGCTGAGTACTCAAAACATACTAGTGGAATGAGCTGGCAATATTCCCGCAGCAGCAGCGAGAGCAGCGGGAGGGAGCTGCCCCTCCCCCCAGCCCCTGTCCCGCTGGTCTGGCTGGGGGTGGCAGCTCCCAGGGCTCTCCGAGCAGGGCCAACCACAGCAGGTCACAGCCTTGACACGAGACCTCTGTCTGCCTTTTGACTGACCCATCAGCCAGACCCTTAGAAGGCAACCCTGACACCCCAGGGGAAACCCCAGTTGGCAACCGTGTGAAGTGAGGAATCGGACTGAAGAATTGCTCTTCCCTCTCAGCACAACCACCACTCAGCCTCTTGGCTTACACACAACAGACAGACAGCCGCCGCCAACACACGGCACGCTAGTTTGGGAGTAAAGAAGTGGGCGTGGTAGTCCGTGCCTCTGACACTAACAAGCTGTGTGACCTTGGCCAAACCTCTTAGCCTCTCTGGGCCTCTGTTGCCCCATTTGTATAATAAGGGGAGGATGTCTGCCCAGCCTGCCTCACAGGACGCAGGCAGAAATGCAGAATGGGTAAGAAAAAGCTTTGCAAAACATAAAGAGCACGTGCTGCGGATTAAAATCCTCTGAGTGTTTATTACTGTGTAACATACCACCCAGTTCCAAACGGTCTGAACCCCCCCAGCCAGGCTCCAGTGAAAGAAAACAACAACCAGGCTTTCTGGGTGGATTTAAATGGGCCTCACATGCCACCAGGCTCCTGAGCCTCGAGCTCTGTGGACTGAATGCCCACACTCCTGGCAAACCGCCACCGTCCCAAGATGATGGGGGTCTCTGCCTGCCCCAGGGACTCTGCCTGCCTTGTCATGCAGCCTCGGAAAACCACGGCTACCACACACAACCACTCTCTATAATCTGTCACTCCAAATGCGCCCATCAAATTCTTCGGTGACCAAAAAAAAAAAAAAAAAAAAGTCAGTGGATGGAACAACCCCAGTTCAGAAATTCCCAGTCACACGTTTTAGGGCTGAACTTGTTTCTTAAAAGGCAGTTCTAATTAGAGTGACATTTTGTCCACTGTGGTTCTTAGTTATGAAAATAATGAGCTATGAAATTCCAATTTATTGTTGACAACTTAAACGGCCAGGCACCGGAGCGGCTCATAACTTCCGAGTGCCACTCTACCTAGTGACAAATCTATTCTGGGCCTCGGGAGGCTGCCGGCTGGGCCTGGGAGGGTCCTTGTCCCCTTCAGTCTCCAGGGGAGATCTGGAGGGCTCCAGGGCACCAGAACATGAGGACTCAGCATCTGGACGTCCCCTCTGAGAAGGGCTCGGCATCTTGCCCTGAGAAGATTTCAAACAGCAAGCAAGATGTCGGCTCAACAATAATGTCTCAGCAAAAACAAAGGAAAGGCCTTCTTTTTTCTCTCTCTCTCCCTCAGTGCAATGAAGAGGCTTCCCAAGAAGATAGCTAAGATCCACTTGGCTCTCAAAGTCTGACACTGAGATAGTCTAAAATATTTCTTTCCTCTCTTCTCTCTCTCCTTCTGTCTGGTCTTCACTGCTCTATTCTAGTCTATTCTCTGTTTTAAAATCAATCATTCTCTTTTCTCTTCATCTCCCTCTCCTCTATTTTTCTTCTTTTATTCTCACTCTCATCCTCCTGCCTAAAACCACCATCTAACGAGAACACCATGCTGATGTCCAGCCTTCCTCCTTGAACTCTGGCTGGGGCTCATTTGCTGCCAAGTGCTAAACAGGAGTGGAGCCCAGAGCCTCCCCGGCTGCGAGGTGACCTGGGGTGGGCAGGGGATAAGGAATAAACACAAGGATCAAGGTCCCCAAAGGGGATGCTAGACCCCTGGCCTTGAAACTTCTTCCCTTGGCCTCCAGTACGGCTCCCCAAGGTTAGAAACTGCTATTCCCTCCATCTAAGAGAATTTCTTAAATTCCAGCAGATGAAAGGGAAAGAACATGCAGAAAATCACAATGTAACTGACATACTTCAAATATTTTTTTTTCTATTCAGGCAACTGTTCTCAAATCATAATGCAAGCTACAGGATCAAGGTTGTTTTCTGACCTGGGGAGAAAAATCCTGAGAGAGCACTGAACAGCTAGACCTGAGAATACTCTGGCTGCTAGGGCAGACCTCTAACAACTTCACATGCCCAGAAAAAAACCCATGGTTTTGGCTTTGGGATATGGTGAGATGCCGATGGTCTAAGAGTCCTTGAGGCCTCCTCCCAGTCCGAGAGGACTGACTGGCTGGATGGACCTGGGTCAGTCACTTGACCTCTGTAGATTTGTTTCCTCATCTTAAAACATGCTTCCCTGGATCATACTGAGGTTCTCCTGAGAAAATAAACAGGAGTACTCGAAGGCTGGGCTATCTAGCCCTCTGGGAGAATTGGCATCGTTAGTATTTTGCTGGCAGCAAATCGACGGGTCAAGTGGCAACTTTCAAACGTCAGATTTGAGAGTTAGTGTGTGTTTGTTTTTTGTTTTTTTTTCCTCTCTAATATACACTTAGGATGCCTGTCACTATGAAGGAAACGAAACATATAAGGAGGAAAATACTACAGCCCAACATAAGAAGGTTGATGATACCCCAAAACTGAAAATGACAGCTGACCTTTAAAAAAAGAATGTGCTTTTTGAAAACGTTAAAATAAAACATTGAACTTGATAATGTGATTTTATAACTTGTGGATTTTTCACCCAGCCTGCTCAGGTCCTGGGCTCACCCAAGATGTGTAAGGGAAATTCCCAAGAACCTCTTACTCGTGGGTCCTTTGGAATAATTCACCAGGCTGTCAGAAAACATGTCATTCCTCCTGATTGAGTCACCCCATTCCACGTGTCATTTGAAACGGGGGAGTTTCCCAGGGCTACTTTGAATTGAATGGCCTTAAAAGGGATTCGCAAATTCCAAAGTACTATGCATGTTAGCGAAGTGCTACCATGATTTTCAATATGACGCAGGCACATTGGACAGCGGCTGGGTCATGTTTTAGGTCATTATTTGAAAAATCAAGGGAAGCCTGTAGCTCCTGCCTTTACCTGCCAAGAATTTTGCTGACACAACCATGGCTGACTCGAAGCTGCCTTGAGATGTCGCACGGCCTGACACCTTGATGAGCAAGTTCCACTATCCTTTGGCGGACTACATCCGGGAGTGGCCGTCCATTCACAAAAACCCCCCCAAGCTGATTCACTCCTCCATGTCCTGAAACAGATCAGAAACAAAAGGCGAGGGAAAGGGTGGTTAGAACCAGTCACATAGTACCAGAAGCTCTGTTACAAGCACCCAGAGCCCCTTTGATCAGAAATGGCCGCAGGCTGGATATCTTGAGCCTGGAGTCTGATCATGCAGGCTTCACGAGTATCTTGCTTTTAAAAATTAACCTTTGCCTTTGTCCATCTTCAGCCAGTCAACCGGGCTATTGATAAAAAGCATCCCCATACTATGTTTCCTTTAGTTGCTAGCATCTGCCTTGTAAATTTTTGTTAACAACGGAATATGTAAAAGACCCCAATCTACACTAGAGACATAACTTATTACATGCATGATGCTGAGGTCTAAGGAAGATCCTGGGGAGAAATATGTTTTAAAATACCCCAAATGTAAAGAGATTTTCAAAAACAAACTCTTTTCCTTTTAACAAATATCTGTAAAAGTGAAAAAGACTACTCCAATAAACCTAGATCTCAGGGGGAAAAAAATGGGTTGTTTTTTGTTTTTTTTTTTAATCAACAATCTGATTCAAGGGCTAAGGACTTAAAAATTTTTGTTTAAATAGTGTCTGCCGAGTACTGAAACAAAATCCAACCACTGCCTTGATAAAAAAAACCTTTTCTTTAAAAAGATGGGGCTCACCCCTCAATGAAGGGGAAAATAAACAAAAAAGGTGAGGCTGACATGCAGACTTGACCACTGTACCGTCAGAGCACACAAAAGAAATGGGTCAGAGGATCACATTCCACTCTACCACATCAGGATTTGTTATACAGGAGTTTCCCTGGAATTTCTGAAGTGATTTTGCAATTGACAAGCAGCATCAAGTTGGTTTGGGGGGAAAATAAAGAAGCTGGAGAAGGCTTCCGAGTCCCAGGTTTTACAAGCACTCTGAGATGGATTTTAAGCAAAAGGAGCCTGGGAAGGTACCTTCTCCACCCAATAAGCTCCCTTCTCTTACATCAGAGTCCATCTGGAGGGAAACAGGGATCCAAGTAAATGAAGAGCAAAACCAGTAAACACGGAGTGAGCCAGGATAGCAACATCATTGACCTTGTAGCTGTTAATCAGCCACTAACTGACATCGCTGAGGACAGTCAAAAGCCAAAATCCAAGTGCAAGCATTTATTTACCAATACTGCTGGCAGCTCAGAGGCCAATGATGGGGAAATCTCCATCTAAACTGGGACTTGCCTGGGATTAGACTATACCAGGGAAGCTAGGGCATCTCAGACATCTCTCTCTCTCTCCTACTCACACACACACACATACACACACACTCCAATTCTAAAACATAAAATAGCCACCTCATCTCAGCTACCTGCACAGCACTCAATTACTATCTAGGTTTATGAACATCTGAAATAAAAGGGGAAAACACCCATAACATAACCTATTTCCTTAAAACTGCCAAAGCAATTCACTGAAGTTTTCCATGAGGGTCCTAACTGAATATTTCCCAAAATTTCTGAGCTCAGGCTGATTTCAAGGAAAAACACAATTTTATAGGTAATGACAGTACTTAATTCTAAATCTTAGCTGAATTTCTCTCTGATTTTCAAAATGAGCTTTAATCCGTTTTGATCATTCTAAAACAGCCCAGACATAAGAAATAGGAAAACATCCCAAACAGGATTTTGCAATTAGAAACAAAACACATAGTTCACCTAAAACAGAAAGATGACAGCCACCCCTGGTCAAGGGCCTTAGAAAGGCTTTGTTCTGGGGTTGGGAGCACCTGATAAAAAAAGAATTGTACAGATCTTTAGAGAACAGGCCGGATTGAAGAAAGTAAATTCAAAATTGGTACAAGCTCATCTGAGAGGACAAAAAGGAAGCTAAAAGCATCCAGCACACTTTTGAGATAACCTATTAGTCCAGGCCTTGTAACCCATTTGCAATTCCTTGTTCCCTATGCCCCTGGCAATTTAAACTTCACGCCCAAAACGCAGTGGCAACCTTCAGAGGACTTAAATTCCAAGAGCAGTCCTACAGGACATTTGTCAGCTTTTGGGACCGTTTGCATCATGGAAAAACCCCAAGGATTGGACACTCTAGGTGACAGCAGGTTCCCAAACCCTCTACTTTTAACCACAAAGACAAGGCTACCTATGTTGTTCCGGAGTCTGATCCATATAACCATACCTGACACCAGACTCAGGATGACCTGGGAGCCCCCCATCTCCCTCAACTTCCTGGAAAGGTTCCCAAACTCACTTAGCTGGGCCTTCTCTGCCTCAGTCACAGTTCTATCCAACAGAGCATTTCAAGGGTGGTGGGGAGGTAATTTACCTGGTCTGAGAAGGCAATGTCTCCCACTTACCCTGAGATTGGAAAGAAGTAAAACCTGAAGCCTGAGAGAGGGAGGCAGGATGGGCAAAGAAAAGAGGAAAAGCGAGGGAAAGGATGCAAAGCGTGGGCACTGAATGAAACAGACAGCAAGGACAGAGAGCGTGGAAGGGAAGCCTCAGGTTAGAAAGAGAGGAATGGATTTTCCTGAAGAGGAAAGAAAGGAATGGATTGGCTAGTACAGTCAAAGAAAAGAAAGGTGAGAGTGGTGTACAGTGGGAGGCAAGAAGACCAGAAGAGAAAAAGGAGGAAGCCCAGTTAAGGGGCATCTGGAAGACAGAGGACATCTGTGGAGAGGAATCTTTGTTTTCTGGGACCCCGGCTCCAGCCCTGCATCTCCTCAGAGAACCCAAGTCCCAGCCTCTACTTCCTATGGACTCCAGTTGGGTGAGGGTTCATCCCCTGAGGAGTGCATGTTCCCAGCTACACTTCTCAGGGCCAAGTAGAATTTTCAGAGAGCCTGACACAGAGACAGATACAAACAAATCAAGGCAAAGACCAGGAAACAGACACACAGATACAAGGGAAACACAGGCCCGCCTCCACAGGGCAGGCTAAGCAAGGTTTGGCTGAGGGTTGGGGGAAAAGGGTTAAAGATACCACTGAGGCCTTTGTGGCTCTGGTTTCTGAGGGCTGGCCTGAACAGAAGCTCCTTAGGCCCTGATAAGGGCATACTACCCACCAGGGGCCCTATCCAAACCCCAAAGACCATGGCTAGGCAAAATGTTGTGGGGAGAGGGTCTCTGCTGACTCAGTGGGAAGACCCAACTCTAAAACCCCACAATGTTATGGAAATTCCTCCTAGTGGCACCAGAGATGATAAATGAAGGGACACACAGACACGCAAACAGGGACACAGGGAAAGAACAGGGATGAAATCTCCTTAACAGGCTCAAACCAACAGACAGGCGCTGACACAGATGGACAGTCGTGTCATGGGGAAAGATATAGTTAAACCAGAGAAAATGCCTTGCACATGTGTGTACTCACTCAGACAGTCCACTGCCCTCTCTCTGGAATCTTGAGTCCCGCCCTCTCCCCTTCTGTGAATCCTGGAAGACCCAAGAACCAGCTCCAGCTTTGCCCATGTGAACTTCCTGTCAGTCTTTTTGTCTCTCTGACTTCAATATCATACTCTGTACAATGGGTTTAGCTAAGGGTTTAGATGACACTCAGGTAGGAGGCTGGCCATAAAAGTGCTTAACTGGAAACCATGCCTAGGGGAAGGAAACATCTAGGCAAAGGTGGTGGGAGGCCATTGTGCTGATGAAAATGATGAATCTATAATAGGGAGTAAGGGCAGGAGAACACAGAAGCCAATTTCCCAGCAGTGCCTTCCCCTCCCCCAGTATCACCTCCGCATAGAAGCTGTCCTGCTCCAAAAGGGGTGGGGGCCAGGGAAGTAGGGGGAAGAAACTGACCAGGGCCAGGCAGGAAGATGAGGAAGTGGGACTTGGTCTGAGCCGCTACTACACCAGCAACCTCTCGGGGTCTACTTGTGCACCCCCCTCAATCGCCAACAAATTGGGGCCCAGGGTGGGCCTACATTGTACAAGCAAAAAGCTTTAGGCGTCAGAACCAAGGGCACTTCCAGAGAAGCCAGCTCTGAAAGCTAGGCTGGCTGGGGCCCAGCCCCCACCAGGCTGCCAGGAAGATTGAAAAGAGGAGGAGGGAGCACTTCTTGAGGAGGGGGCAGATGAAGGCCGGGACTAGGAGGGACAGAGACACAGGCATTTTCGGTTGGCTAACTGGCACCTGGAAGGAACCACCTTCTCCACCCTTATGCACTGCCGGGAAACCACTGGTTCTGATGTTATCTCCCCAAGGGTCCGGCGACCCCTGGGGCTCCGGGCTCTGCGCAGGAGGCAGTGAGTGAGGGTCTGCGGATTCCAGCTGGCGAGGAGAGACGTGCAGGAGTCAGCCCTCCCCATTTTGTCCCCCATTCGCTCCTTGGCTGAGCTAAAGGCTTGTCTACCTCTCAGAGTATTGACCCCAACTCGTTTGTTTTCTCTCTCACTCTGCGAGAACAGATCCTCCCTGGAGCATGGCTCAAGTCTGCCCAGGAGACAGCTGCCAGGGGCGCTGGGGTCACCATGGACTGGAAACCGTTTTGGCACAGGCCCCAAATGGTGAGGAATCGTTTGGGGTAGGACTGGTGCAAGCGGCTTCTCTGGGCAAATCTCCCCACTGCTTTGGTGGATTACCTTGCATTCGGAAAATTGACACAAAGAGAAACTGACCTGCCCACAACCAGCCCCAGCGGCTTAGATCAGCATTTCCCTGCTTACCAGGCCACTCGGCCCTCCGGGGCAGAAACCGACATATTCGCAGGGGAAGCTTGCCTTCTCTCCAGCCGGGTCTATGCTGCCTTTGTTAAATAGGGGACTCACGGCTGGGTAAGCAGGATCCTGGGCTGTCTGAAGAGAACCTGGCTTGGGGTAAGCTTCCAGTCCGGGAGCAACTCCCTGACCTGCCGACCGTGGGGACCCGACCTGGGCACCCCGCTGGATGCCGCCAAAGCCTGGCGCCTTGCTCCGGCCCAGCTCTGCAGCGTGCAGAAGGGAAACACGATTCGTTCCACTTGGAATTTCCTTGAAATCTCCGAATCTAATCCGGCATTAACTCACCGTGAGAGGAGCGCT